GGTGGGGGGGGGGAGGGCAGTTGCACATTTTCTATTTCCTGTCGCGTATCGGCCCAACTAGAGAGCCGTTTCATGAGTCCACAAGAGTTGACAGGTCTTACCATGAACTTAAGCTTGCTCTAGCTTCACAAAAGTCCACAGGTTTCACACGAGAATCAGAGCTAGTGAAGCAGCGAAAGAGCAGACTGCCCCCCCCCTTGTCGCCGAACTGCGCCTACCTGGGTTATAACCCTGCGCAGACAGCTGACAAGCTGGAATCAAATCATAGCGCCATGCGAAAAAGTTGGAGGATTACCATTCGCCTGACAAGTTCCGGAAATCCAGTGAAAGCTGACGTCATGAAAAAGTGAAACGCTGAGGTGTAGAAAAAAAAGCCGATAAAGTAGAAATGTAGTGCAAATTAGGGTCGTTACCATGGAGATAAGCAGTACAAAAGATAGATAATCCTTGTAGGACCTCGTGTTTTTATTGGCATCGGAGCACAAATCCGTATTTGTGCGCCATCTTACAATCGCATAATGGGTACTTGCGCTGTGTTTCGTCATTTGGTCAACATTTCCCCGGAAACCCCTTCAGTTTAGCTACTTAATAAGAGCTGTTTTAAATGCAAAAGCTGCAAAGCTTAGAGGACACAGTATGAACTGTCAAAAAAACTGCCACTGACAACCTGCCCGTTTTCCTTCACTGTGATCGCGAGGTATTTCGAAAGTTTTGTTGCCCTTTCGAAACGGAACAGAGTGCGAAAAGCGCTCACTCAAATCGAAAAAGGCGCGAACCTTGTCTTAGCTGGATAGAAATCACTTGGAGTTCAAGGCGGAAGATACGGGAACTACTGCACTAATGTGACATGGGGAGCATGTTGGTGCTGAGGTACTCAGAAGCAGCGAAAATGTTCTCTTGTATCACAATCACAGAAAAAAGATTTGAGTTTAGCCAAAGTCTGGGAGTAAAAAGAGATCGGCAATGAATGAGAAGGTTCCAATGCTGGTCCCCCTCCTAAGCTCACAACTCATTCCTTGGGTGAGCTGGCCGTTTATACCTCTTGCTGGCGTACTGAGCATTTTGGGAGAAAAGGAAAGCATAGGAATCGATCTAGCCCCTAGCCGATGAAAAGTATGAACGCAGCTCACAGTTATACCTTCGGACCTTCCGGCATTAAATACCGTCTAACCTGAATAAAAAAGGTCGAGTAAAAGACGTGAACTCTGAAATATCGCGTGGAAAACTGTGGTTACCGTAACCCAAGAATGCCGCACGAAATTTCCCACCATATGCACAAAATGGTCCAACATATTAGATTAGGCAGCGTTCAGACCTCGCGACACCAGCGCTTCGGTCGCGCGTTTGACGCGATCGATGCGCATGCTTTCAACTGCATCGATCGCGTCGAACGCGCGACCGAAGCGCTGCCGTCGCGAAGTCTGAACGCTGCCTTATCACCCTGTTTTGGGGTGGAATAACCTTTCTTGGTGAAACCAAAGACTATTAAGAGGGGCATGACAGAGCGAGGGATCGGCACTGTTCAACTAATACTATCCCAATCCTCCGAAAAGAGGCCAGTTTTTGACGAGGTTTTTTAAAGGGGCAGATTGATTTGGCTTGAAAACTCGCTTCGGAAGGTAGCTCTTCACTCTCACTAAACCAAACTCCACATACATGCCTTTGCCTGGCGTTGACCGCACAGGCCCGGCCGCCAAGATACGCACGGGCGCCGAACCCGCTTGAAAACTTGTAGATGAGGGGTTTGTTTGGACATTACCTGTTCACGAATATGACATTCAGTCATTGACGCTGGGCTACTAACTGAAGCCATACGATCATTTGCGCTGTTCTAAGGCTTAGTCTGCCCTGAAGGGATCCACTCCTTCTCCCAGCCTGAGCCTTAGCAGAGCGCTAAATGGTGGATGTGCCGGGAAAATGAATGCTATATTCGTGATCAGGGCATCAAGCAACCTTCTAATGCAATTTTTCCCCCCCTAAGTACTGTTGTTGTATTTTGAACTGTTTTTCCTAGTGATGAACCCTGCAGGAGTACCACCTTCTCTCCATGAGACAAGTTCTCGCCCGCTCAAGTCCATCTGAAGGACCGGTGGAGCAGATGGCCATAAATCAGACTTGTTAAAGTACCTGCCACCTTTACCTTGAGTCATCACACCCTTGTAGTGATTATTCTGTGGACTTACAGCGAAACCGGTTTATCCAAGAATTTGAGACTTTGAGGACTCCATAGAAACTACCAGTCATATCTTTCTTTACCGCGCATCATGCACCAGAAAATGAAGTCCATGTTCCAAATGAGACTCTAATTGGCCCGACCACGCCCACTAACACCAACTATAGCACCTTCAGTCGTAAACTTTATTCATGTTAGGATTTTCTAGAAATACTTTTGCAGAATACAAGTCGCTTTGCCTGGTTTGTCCCAGTTTCCTTTTTCTATTTTACGAAGTATAAACATAACTAAGACAATAAGAACAGGCAAGTGCAAGAAATAAAAGAAAAGCATTCGAACCCTTCAGTAATATACAGAACACAACGAAAAGAAACACATGAATGATAAATGTAACCCCACCCGACCAAATAGGACCCGAAACAGTATTATCCTGAGTAATGATTGAGAATATTGAAGGCGCTGACCACGCGACACTACCCTAATACAAAAACCATTTTTGTAGTGCTTGTCTAAAGGAGCAAGCGGAGTGTGAGCGCGCCTAATAGGCTACACCTTGTACCTCAACCCTCAAGCACATCAGGATGATGACTTATTCACAGGACAATCTAACCAGATCCCCTGACATCGAAGTGGGGTAAATACTACACAACTGATTGTGAGGTTTGATTATGATCAAGAACAATTCCATTATCCAGTAACATCTTCCTTAATCGTTGATTTTCTTTCATCATTTTCGACATATTCTCTTGATATAACTCTGCATTCTTCTCCTTATCCAATATTTCTTTCGTCATCTGAAAACTTTCCGAGATAATTGCAGTATTTTCATTGCACTTCCTCTTCTAGATGAAGAAGGCTTCTAAATCGGATTACCAAGTGACCTTATATAACAAGTATATCAATGCAACATAAATTAACTTTGTAATTACTCGTTTCAGACAATACAAAAACAACGTTGCGCTAATCTAGTTCTTATCGCTACCTCATCTTTGGTGAGTTTTGAGATCCGGTCCATAGTGTACTCTTCAAACTCGGCCTCGAATTCCCTATCCATTTCCTTATCGGTCTCGCTGTCACCACTTGAGGATGCACCTTCACTGGCAGCCATGAACTCGCTTGACACACTGATCGAGCGTACTCGTCTCCTTTCACTAGCCTCGTACGCCAGCTCGACCTATAATGTTTTCTATCGAACCACATTGAAATCGTACCAAAACGAATGACTTTTACTGGTAATACCATGCAATTACCTCCAAAACAAAAAACCTTACCTCTAACCCTTTCTCGGCTCGGGCTTCACGATCTTCCAACAGGAATTGTGTCGTATTGCTGGGAGCCATTGGTTTTCCATTTGCCATGCTGCAAGTATACACATTAATGATCGTCCTACTCCTAAATCTGCCTAGGATAGATTCGAGCGCTCACCCACGACGTTCGAATCCTGCTCTCAGATGTACTAAATGACCCACTATAAGAACTTCAACAAGTATTCAACTGCCTACCAATACCTAGAGTTGACCTACCTCTGTAAAACTAAGTACTACAACCTTAACAACTCAGATTGTGTCAAAATAGTATGCCGCTAATTCCCGTTGCACTTTGCTACACGGCGGGAATAGGATAGTAGAGCTTATTAAGGCTGCAGTACTTAAGTCATCTGCCTTCCGTTTTTATGTCGCCTTTGATTAGCAGTTATACCAACTAACTACACAGCACAACAAAGAAAAGTATTACAAGGACCGTAAACGTCAAGAGATAGAACAACATTAAGAAAGTGAATGAGACGGTCTGAAATACTGACCCTGCAGTGAATTGAAGCACAAGTGTTGTCATCAAGTAGCGGAATCATCATCCAATCCATCTTAAAGAGGATGAATCAGTTCTTGTGCTATTGGAACAAGTGATTTGCGGGCATGTACGGAAGGAGAGAGACTCAAAGCGGCGCGCCTGCTACCATAACCTGCCTATGGCACCCCATAGTACACATCCTACTTTTTGAGTGAAATACGAGAACAACTGAGAGCATAAGGAGAACCAGGATGAGCAGTAGAATAGAAAATGTGAAAAGCCGGGTCCGAATACGCTACAACCAACCGTTCTCGTATCCTACGTTCCGATCGGAGAGTCTCGGCAGCATCCAGGGCAATCTTCTCTTCGGGACTCAGTGAATGATAGGGCTTGAAGCGATTCTTGTTGGCCCGACGTCGACGAGTCTTCCTGCGTTTCTTCTCCACTTCGAGGTCTCCATCACTGACGGACCTCTCGTGGTCAGACGTATGAGGGACAGCTGATTGGATCTCATTCGACGTCATCGCTGAGTTTTTTCGTTTCTCAGTGAGGTCTATCGAGTGAGTACCTATCTGTCTTGGAGGGGGTAGTTGAGGATGTGTCACAACTTGCACTTCGTACAATGACGAAGATGCTAGGCGACTTCAGAAGACACGCTTACAACTAGCGCACAGCTGATCTGCAGCAAACCAACCACACACGTCGCAGCCGCAGTGCGATCACACAACTAGAAAGGCAACCGCTCAGCCTCCCGCTTATATACGAAAACGCGACCGCACGCGCGGATGCCTGCCCCGCCCACCAACACGCAAGTGTCGAGAGCGAGTGCGCACATCAGTTCGAGATCTTGTGAACGCTTATTTTTGGGCCAATTGGCTCAATTTCACAACTTTGGTGATCAGCGGTAAATTCCTGATCATATTTCACCGCCATTTGCACAAACTTCTCAAACCACTCAAAACACTCAATTTTTGTCCCTTGTGGCCAGATTTGACCCACCTAGCCCCATGTTGCTCCTTTTCCTCCCAGAAGTCGTTCATGAATCCATTTTCGGGTTTTGGAAGAACATTTGCGACCGGGTGCCGGTCGTGGTCAATATGCGGCAGACATGCAGGGTTTCAAATGCGAGGAAGTTAGCTGGCAGCGGAGAGTGCCAAAGAAGCAGCGTGCGAGCTGTTTGCAACGCTGACAGGGGCCTCGATGGGGTATCTTCATAGTTACTATCTCAAATACAAGTACCCTTTCTAGGTAATGTTCCAACAATAAGAAATACGTGTGATCTTCCCCTGAACAAAGTTTTCAAAATTGCAAAAATCTTTCATTTTCATTCTGTTCCAAATTAGGACTTATCCCATGAAACACGCTACCCATCTACTATTTCTAGACCCCTGTACCTTAGTTGCGTTATCGCATTGGTCCCCGTCTGACGAATCTTACCCCGTCGTCCGATGGCCGTCCGCTTGCTCTGCGTCCTGTGTCACTTCGCTGCCGTGAGTGCTCTGCACCCTCTCGCCGTCGCTGTATTCTCTCATGCCCCGCTCTGTTTCTCTGTCGGCTCACATGACTCCCCGATCCATCTATTCACAATTTCCACCCTCATGCGTTATTTACGCCACGAAAGTACGGTGGAACGATTACAACGGAGTGTTGGCATGTGGCCAGCTCGTTGATGTTATCAGTGGGAACGCGCGTACGCGCAATCCACACATCCCATCAGATGGTCTCGTCCTGGTTGGCGGTGATGTCCGAGAATGCCCACTTAACGGTCGCTCTGGAAATTATGAAAGTAGCGTATAAGTAGTTCTATTTTGCTGTTGAAGTTACAGATGTTTATTTGTTTTTTTCCTGTTGGGCAGTGTAGTCGCGAAAGGGGGGGGGGGTGGAAGAGGTGGATAGTCGCGCGTGGCTTTGTCATTTCACCACTCACATTCAAATAATGGTCGTTTAAACGGTGAGTTACAGTGCGCCATGCAACACCTATTCATTTTTCCTCAGTTTTCAAAAGGTTCAGGTTCCAGAGGTTATATGTCCGAGGCCCGAGTCGAGGTTTTTCAGGGCTTCCTGTTTTCGGTACTTCTGTTTTCCGTATAAGGGTTCAGTGAGCTTTCAACTGCAGAAAACCTTCCGCTCAAATCTTGCTCAGTACTTGGGCAGGTAGCTTGGGAAGACAGACTACTGCCAGGATAAGCCTTGCAAGGCAGCTCTGTCAGCAGGACACGTCCTATCCATGGAGATCCCGAGCGGGGGGGGGGGGGAAGGAGGCGGGAAAGGGGTGGTATTTGCCCTTGAAAAAATGTTTTCGGTAGTTGACTTGTTGAGTTTTCTCGATATTTCCTGTTTTCATGGTAGTTTTTCTGGAAAAAAAACCGGAGAACCTGGAGAACTTCGGAAAAAGGCTAGAAAATCGAGAAGATTTTTCTATTACTACCCCATTTTTCGGAAATCATAGCAGTTTTCGACTTTTTTCTAGGAGGGCAATTTCTGCTGAAAGTTTGTTTCCAGGAGCAGTCTGACCTCCCGAACATGACCATCACACTCTCTTGGCCTGAAACCGTCTAGCGCCGGCGCCAAAGTCCCCTTGATCACTAAAATCGGTGAAAACTTGTATAGGGAGCTTATTTGGAATCCTGATTAAGAGTAGAACATTCATTCTCGGCGCCGGCGCTTCTGGAAGGCACTACTATCATGTGCGCTCTGTTAAGGCTGAACCTGGTCCGAAGGGAATCACTCCTTCTCCCAACCTCAGCCTTAGCAGAGTGCTAGATGGCGCTGGTGTCGAAATATGAATGTTATATACGTGATCAGGACATCAAACAACATTGTTGTGCAAGTTGTATCGATTTTAGTGAAAAACTGTAAGGCGCGAAATCAGCGCTTTATGGCGCCAAATGGCGCTAAGGCTAAAAGCGAATGTCGTGCTCGTGGTCAGGGCACCGAATAACCCCAGTATGCATGGTTATACCGGTTTCGGTGAGGAAAGTAGGGCGCCAAATTAACGCCCTGTGGCGCCGAATGGCGCCAGCGTTGAGAACGAATGCCAGGCTCGTTCTTATCAGGGCATCGAAATGAATAGTATCTTTTTTTCCGAGCCATTACATCTACGCTCCTGCTGAAGGCTAGGTTACAGCCCAGTCCACGCCTCGTCGAAGGATTCTCGACGATGGTGCCGCCTTTTTTCGCAGTAGTTCAACTCGGAATGAAAGTCTTACAAGAAGTCGTTAAACAGCCAAAGTCAATATGTTCTCAGGATTGCCTCCCCCCCAAACCACCTATCTTGTCCTCGATAAAGTTCATAAATTAGTCCCATTTACTTCATCAAGTAGTGAAATCGTCTGTGTAACTGCGTAAACGTAGTTCTTCATGGTCTGACCAGCTCTTATCAGATGTTTTCGATACTCACCGCGACTTTTTATGTTTTGCTTTCGTAACGTGACGGCCCATTTATCTGTGTGTGCGTACTGGCGAATCCAGTAGAGTAGAAGGTTGTGATATCTTTCAGCACGTCACGCCTTCCCCAAAACATCGTGACATTGGCGCGATGTCGCGTCGCGGACGAGCGGCGACATAGGTGCGGCTGTTTTCTAAGCAGTACTCCGCTGAATACGGGCAAAATCCACGCTGCGATGACAAGTGTTCGCCGTGGGCGGTATCGGCAGCGGCGATGACGTCGCCAGATAGAAGCAGCTACGGCCACAATTGGCCGAATCGATATTGTGGAGCGGATTTGTACTTCGACATTACTAGTCAATGAAAATAACTTGTTTATCTGCTTACATGTGTATTTTAAAAGATGTGTTTTACCATACGGTAGATTGAAATGCGTTGTTTTCGGGCGCCACCTTCGCTTTTGTGGCATTCCTTGCGCTTGCCAAGGCCTTGGCTCGTAAAGGCACCTGGATCGATTCCGCCCCATGCCGGGCCTGCTATCTCTCAGAGTTCAAGCAGCTGGTAGCAACCTCTTATGGGAAGGCAAAAACGCAAAAACACGGCCTAGCTCGAAAAGCACTGCATGGCCTAATGGGTGCCCAAAACGCGTCTACAATTGAAGAATAGAAGGGCAGAGTTCCGTCAATTCACCATCCCCGGAGGAATGAAGGTACGATTTCCCTGAGTGGGAGTAGACCCGGGATTTGAACCCGAGACCGCGCGAGTGGTAAGCGCGCCACTTGTCAATACACCTCTTCCGTCTCGCGCCTGAAATTGCAAATAAAAAACGCTGTTTACTTTAGACAGGTTACTTAACGCCGTCCTTCAAGGAAGTTCAATGTTTTTGTTGCATGGCTACCTGCACCAGAACTCTCGACATTTAAGACTCATTATTTATTCGAAAGTTAGGCACCATTCAACGACTGTTAACTGCCCCATCCAGAATCAGGCTAGTTGTTGACCGACTTTTTCCCACGAGGCAGACTTGGCTAAAAAATTGAACCCTGGGGTAGTTCGACATCCTAACATGACTATCACGACCGCTCGTCTCAGAATCCCTTGGCGTCGGGGCCACAGGCGCCGGCACCAAAATATCCGAACATCCGAAATTGTTAAAAACTTACCCCAGGGGTTGTTTGACACCC